TCTCTGGAAATGTATAAAATATCAGAATTTAATAGGCATATCAATTTTGCCTTCAGGGCCAATGGAACAGGGTAACTTGTTTATCACTGTAGGCATGACTGCATGACAAAAGAAAAGAAAGATGAACTGGAATTTTCTTTTCATGGCTTGCTAAGTCAGATGAAGAGTCTTGTTTAGCCCCCACCTCCAGCCAGCCAGCCAGCCAGAAGCAGTGGCTTACTAGGGACTTTCAAAGTTTCCCAGCCAAACTTGAAGGCACTTTGCTGCTTTGAGTGCTAGGTTCCATTTAGCAGGGAAAGGTTTTAGGGATGAAGAGTTCCTTCTTTATGAATTTGACATTTCCCTTTTCAAAGACACTGCATCTGGTATGAATCAGCAGATAAAGCAAGTGAACTGGGATTGTGTGTGAAACCATTTCTTTTGGCTGTACAGTACTGATTCTATCACTTGGACATTTCTTGTGCAACCCCTATGAATTCAATGCTACAAAAAGGAAAATACAGTATCTCCCTGGGTTGATCAGAAGCTACTTTAAAAAAAAAAAAAAAGCAGCCACATTCCCTACCATTTGAGCAGCTGATTCCGTCCCCCTCACTTTAGCTATCTGAGAGTTTTCCTCCACTTCAAGCACATCTTCTGGGGTGGGACCCATTTGCTTATTTCCTCTCTCCTATCAGAATAGTACTATGAGTTGTAAAAGATGCCCTTCTTCACCTTATATTACCTTTAGCGCCACTAGCCTGCAGGATAAGCTGTACATGTGTGTGCTTTTGTGAATAGAGTTGTTGCTTCATGGTTTTCTAATACCCTTTGAAATCAAAGCAATAAAAAAAAACAGTTTCAAAGGTGAAGGCTCCTCCTGCCACAAATTGATCTTTGTGAGATAGCTGGTGTAATGGTTTGCTCAGGTTGTGTTGACTTGGAGTTTAAGGTTAATAAACATACAAAGAACAGATTTTGGTTTGTTTACCTTGCTAAATGCAAAGTGCAGTTTTGTCAGCAATAACCATACTGTCTCTTTGGTGTGGTAAGGAAGAGGTTTGTCAACAATTGTTGCAGATTATGGTGTGAAAGCAATGCAACAGACTTCCTAATATAACATTTATTTCAGTCAGTGACCAGATAAAATAGAACATATATCAGGTACAAGGATGCCAGTCATGTGCTGTAATCAGTTGTTGGGCATATATTCACAGCAGCTATACATAACTTTGCAACAGATATTTAGTTTTTCCTCTCCTTGGAGTTTAGTTAGGCAGCATGCCTACTTTCTATCCAATTTTTTTTGGGGGGGGGGAACTTTCTAGTCCTACTTTTAGATAAGGAGAATCACCCTAATATGATGGTCCCATTCATCAGTGCTAGAAAATAAAATTATCTGACCTTCCTTATCCTTTCCACTTTTTTCACTTACAAAGCAGAGGCAACATCATTCACTGCCTGGCACTAGCTGGCCTCCCCTGTGCTGCCCTCTTCTTAATGTAGTGTTTTGGGTGGTATTCGCTGACCTCCACAAGGCTGCAAAAACAGATGGCTCTGAGCCATCCAAACTGCTGTCCTTGAGCAGCCAGAAGGCAGCACTATCAGAACTACTCACTAAACTCCCTCATGATTGCCACAGGAGAACCTTCAGTCTGCCAGTAATTCATACTCATGAATTCATGGCCTAGAAAGGTGACACGTGGATCATGGACACACATACTTCTAAAAGAGAAGGCCTGCTTGCAGACATGCCTTATCTGTGTAGCATATTATATTTACTTTGCATTTGTTGGAACTGCTGCCTAATTAAAGAAACCTGACATGACAAATTGTATGGATTTTTGTGAAATCCACTTCATTTGGAAAGAAATGCCAATGAGTTCAGTGCAGACTTCTGAATAAATGCAAATGAGTGCACATTTAATCAAAACATTATAAAAACTGCACATATTGCAAACTATAAAAAAATTTGAAAATAGTTTTTCTGTTTTTGATGGTGAAGCTTTGGATTATCCTATCTCCCAGAAATAAGATGCTCCCTCAAAAACAGTACTGCTTTCTTTGGATTTTATAAGATTGGGAAGCATTGCAAGTCGTCTTCTGACTTCCTCTCGCCCCACAATCAGAGATGGGTCTTGACTAGAAAGTTGGACTTTTAAAACCTTGGTACCCTACTCATCATCGCCCCAGCAAAGTCTGTATTTTGGTGTCTGCAATGCCTATTTTTATTTTCCATGATTTTATTTCTGCCGATTTAACCCCATGTGAATTTTTTTAGAAAAATATTTTTATTGTAACACTTAATCTTTCTTTTCTTTTTAATGATTTTTTTTATTCTTATCCCTCCTACCGAAAGGATTTATAGAAGTAGGCTAAATACATTCAGCATTTTTAAAAATGAGAAAAAATGCTGCCTAATTAATGAGAGAACTTTCAAAATGAAATGTAACTTTAGGCAATGATATATTTATACATTTTAAAATTTTAAAATACAATTTTTTTGGTGGGATGACAGTAAATGTGACAGTAATTTTCTCAAAAATGAATGCTTTTTGTCTTTATTATCAAGGGTATCAGTTAATGAGAGTCAGAACCATAATTGAAACTAAATATGATTATGACTTGATAGCATCGATTTCTGAATCTTTTGAGAAAACCCGCAGATAGTTCCAACATATGTTCTTAAAATTCAGCGCTTTCAGGGGGGGAGGTAAGGAATCCATTTTTCAAATCTACATAAATCTAGTTGCACCCCATTCCATTAACATTTTTTCTTCTAATTAGACAGTGCTATCCCTGTGTAGGGTATATTTTAAAGCTTTTTGAATCCCTTTAATAAACATTGAAAATAAGAATAATTATATTTCCAAACACAAAAAATACCTCTCTGTGTTTCAAGAATGATCCAAATGTTAGGATTCCATTGATGGTTTAATACTGATAGAACATCAATAATTGTTTTGATAAAGTACCGATGCAACAAAAATCCCTTTGGATTTTTCAAACGGGCAATTCACCATTCTAGAAATCTGTAATATAGAATTTAACAAGAGGAAGATGTAATATAGAATTATTTCTTTAAATATAATGAAATGTTTTGTTTGAAAAAAACTTAACAATTGGACTCCATTTATAAGTCCTGAAGCCCAGACATTCTGTCTAACAAAATGCAGTGTTATATTATATCATTGCTTCCATGTTTCTTTCCTTATTTGAAGAAAATAACTTAATTGCTGTCTGTCACTGACATGCATTTTGTCACCATGCATTAGGCTGAGCTTCACAACATCAAAGGAATCAACTGTATTCATAACTAGAAGTAAAAGGATTGTAGAAATAGCAGGCCTTGTTAAAAAACAACAGCCACACAACTGAAGGAAAGTACAAAGGGCGTTGCACAAGAAAACATAAACACTACAATGGCCTTATAACATGAACTTTTTATATACATTTCCTTTTATTAAATTGACATTTTGAGTGCTCTAAGCAACACAGACTTTTGTGCATGATATGATATATGACCCAGGTAAAATGTGTTGTCAAGGAAATGGAGTAGAAGTAGAAATCAAGTGAAAAACATAGAGAAGTATTGTATGAAAACAGATTGAGCAAAAATTGCTCCCTTGGGAGAGGTTGGAAAATAAGAATATAAACTTCTTGAGGAAGGGAAATCTGATCAATGTGCATTGTTCGTGATTATGTTCACTACTTCAAAAGTACATTTAAGATAATATAAGATGCTTTAAATCTCTATTTACTTAGAATATTAATTAGCTATAAAGACTTTGTTTTGTTGTGATAGTTTTATATCAAGATTCGTGCACCTACACTTTGTCTTAGTACTTCAGACCACCCTTGGGCTGGTCAGGTATATATCCTAATAAATATTTAACTTTGCTGGTTGCTTGATGGAGAAGTCCTTGATGAATTTATACCTGGTACATTTCTGCTAGGGAGAGTTCTTTCCAACATGCCTTCCACCGTATAAATGGTGAAGCAAAAATTCAACAGATCTATAATTCTCCCTAAACCCTTCCTACATCTTCTCTCAGCAGCTTTAACCAGCATAGCCAGTAGCGAGAAATCTGAGAAAGGCAGCTTAACAACTTCCGAAAGGCCACAAGTTACATATCCATGCTCTGAAAGAAAGAGATACAAAATCATTTCTTCCTTGGAAACTGTTTATTATAGAAGAGTAATATAGAAGAACTGTTTACTCTCTTATCTGTTGGGAGGAAGGACTTAATTGCATAAAAGTAAAATACCACATAAAGACACTGTGATTCTACTGGTAAAAGGGATAGATGCACTGTTTTCCGAAAACAGTTAGAAATTCTAAATCTATAGATAGCTTAAAAATCATTTTGTGGGTTACAACTGAAAAACACCTATATTTAAAGTTTGTTGTACTAAATAAAATTTAAAGAAGAGAAAAATGTTAAAAACATGAAACTAAAATAAATAGTATTAATTTCAGGGCAATATAATTGTTTTTAAAAATGAATAATAAAATGCTAAAAACCTGATCCATTTGACAGTACAGATACAGGGGCCTGGAAAATATTCAGTCCAGTTTATAATATTGCTGGACCTGGTAAAGAACTTGGATTTTTGTGATTGCTTTGATTCTTAAGAGTCAGTTCAGTTATCAGAATTTCTAGTTTTCACATGTTGTGAAAACAGTTTCTGAGATAAATGCTCCCTGCTCTTCCTTTTGGAATCTCTTGAGTCATCTGTCTCTCATGAAGTCTTCTGCAAAACTAAAGAGGAAAGTATTAAGATATATCAGGTGGATGGGTCCTAGGGATGCCAATCAAAACACACAATTATTCTCACCATGCATGTGTGTGTAAAGGCAAAAAGATGGGAAAAGCACTTGGAAAAACTCAAGAAGGTTATAAGTGAAAGCCAATCTGAAGCTCCATACCGTAATTACATGGTAAAGCAATGGAAACTTTCTTTCAGTGTAACTAAGAATCTGCTTTTTACACCAATCTTTCCCCCCCCCCTATTTGAAGGTTGTCAGCGTTGCATTGGCTTAAGCAATGGGAAAGCAAAAGTATGTAACTACAGTGGATGGTATTACTGCAACCTCTGTCACGTTGATGATACCTTTCTAATTCCTGCACGGCTAGTTCATAACTGGGACACTTCAAAATACAAGGTAAAGTAAATACATGCTAACAGTAGCACAAGTCCTTGTTCCCTGATTATAGTGTGGAATATGCACACATAGAATTGCCCAATAGGAAAACATTATGTCTGTCAATCAATCAGTATTTTGTGACCACATGTTGTTATGTTATATAAAACTATGGGGAAAAAAGGAAATTAATAATTTAAGAGGGAGGAGAAAAATATCAACAAATAAAAAGGCATGCAGGGAGTCAGGTTAAAATGGAACCAATATTAAAATTGAGAGCTTAACCATTTCTTTGAGTTTAATATTGCAAAGGTAGCATCCTGACTACTAATAGTTGTAATCACATCTGCAAGGAGGTAGAATAGTTGTTGAGCTATTGATGCTCACATTGCAAGGTCCAAGAGGGAGGAAATATAACTGCATGATAGAAACAGGAGTTTGTCTCATTCATTTCCCCTCATGTAAAGCAAATAAAACAGTTTTACTAAGTGGGAATCTTGGAGGCTTTCTAATTTCCAATACCTTACCAGTGCCAGGTGAATTCTAATGAAGATTGAAGGTAACTCCATTTCTATCCTAATGATGATCTGGCCAAGTTGAAAGTGGAAGCAAAATGCAAAGGCTAAAACAATTCTGCATAGGTGAACGCCCCGAAGCACACAAGGCTCATAGCCTCCAGTAGAAAGCTTCAGTTGCCCACATCAACGAATGTTAGAATCCCAATCAGCATGCATCCCATGCAACTACTGTAGTATCCATGCAGCTGGGCTATAGTTTTGGTTGTTATGGTTGTTAACCTGAGAAGATCCAAAGGTGGCAGCAAAAACTTTGTTTATGTTGTGGTCAGCCAAACTATGGTCCTCAAAAGGGCTCTAAAAAGTTGTGCAAAGGACAGCTGGCAGGAAACTGGACACCTCTTGCCAATCTGGGCACTGAGTTTGAGGGCGAAGTAGAAGAACCGAAACCATTCATTAGCTTATCCACCTGTAGAGAATAAGGCAAGAGTGACAGAGATACAGAGGAACCATGACCTGGACAAAAGGGGCTGAAACAATTTTTAAGTCCAGGCCAACAACATAGATTTCAGAAATACTGTAGTTCGGGCAGAACGCTCACTAATCCACTAAAGCAGGGCTTTTCAACCAGTGGTACGGGTACCACCTGTGGTACATTGGCACCTGGCAGGTGGTACGCGACCATCAAAGAAAAGTAGTGGTGGAGGGGAATGAGCTGAACCAGTGGCAGCACTGGACAAGCCTGAGCGAGAGATGGCTGGAGCTACAGGGCTGTCAGGGCTCAGCGGAAGTGCCAGGATCAGCGCTTCTTCGGGACTGTCAAGGCTCAGTGGAAGCATCAGGATCAGTGCCAGGCTCCAGCTGGAGCTCGGCACAGATCCTGGCACTTCTGCTGAGCCCTGAAGAAGCGCCGATCAGCTGGAATGTTGCAGCATCTCCAGGGTATTGTGATTTACATTCAGATGCTTCGCAACTGATTCATATTTATGACGGTCACAGTGTCCCAGGGTCATGTGAAGTGACCAAAACCTGCTGCAACCACCCAGCAGACGGGGGGAATAAAAACCAAACACCCCCCACCCCACCCCCGCTGCCAATCCTCAACAGAAATGCTCACAACAATGAAAACCTTGGACAGGAGGAAGAGCGCCGCCAGGCGCTGTCTTTCTCGGCTGTGGCTTGGGGGGCACTTTTTTCAGTGCCATTGTAACTTCGAACAGTCACTAAGCGAACTGTTGTAAGTCAAGGACTACCTGTACTTCATCACTTTTTCCCTTTTTTTTGTCATCAAGTTTTTGACACCTTGCTAGGCGACTGGTGGTACTTGGTTATTGCCATATCCTAAAAGTGGTACAATGGGTGAAAAGGTTGAAAAGCCCTGCACTAAAGTATAAGAAAAAAGTTTTCTGTTAACAATTGTGTAAGAGAGCCAATGTGTTGGATTAGGAGCCAGGAGATCCTGGTTCTGGTTGATAGAACTGTAGTTACTCTTTAAGCCAAACAGGCACTCTAAGCCCAACCTACTTTCACAGATTGTTCTTATGGGAAAAAATAGAAAAGAGAACTATGTGTCTGTTGCCTTGAGCTCCTGAATGAAAGGCAAAATATAAATCTAACAAATACAGAATTTGCCTCCGATTCGGAATTTGGCTTCAAGCCATAATTCTGGCATCTAACTTTCAAGCATTTATCCTAATATAGCTTAGTATGATTATTCCTATATTATAGTTTTAGCTTTTTGAATTAGATATGGTGATATAAAAGTGTAGTAATAAAAGAATAAATACATTATTTAAATATTTAAAGCATTTTAATATTAAGTGCTACTTAAAATTATAAACAAAGGGGAACAGAAGATATTAAGCAAACCGAGATATTTGTGTTCTTGAATATCTTACAGGTTTTGGCAAGATCTTAGATATATGCATCCAAAAAGCAAACCAAAAATATCAAAAGTAACATATTTCACTAAATTCTCATTGCTATTGCAAATACTAACAATTTTTGTAATGGTGTATTTCACTAAACTATTGTTTGAATGGTCAGTTTCACCATCCTCTCTAGTTGTGAAAAATATTGTAGACTTCAGTTCTGGATTACAGGAGTAAAGAATCATGAAAATGTAGGAAGTGGGTTAAAATATAAAACAAAACAGTAGTGCTTTTGGTTTAAAAGAGGAAAAAAATCTGTCCTATTGTATCAGACTATGCCCCCATGTTATTGAAATGCAAGCCTAAGAATAACACTGAAAATCCCTAGCTCGTTTTTTAAAAGTAAGGAAATGCAGGGAGACATTCCTTATTCTTCATTTTTGCATATTATCTTTTGTGGGCAGGTGAAGCTATGTTTACAAGATAGTAGGCATTCATCTTAATACTAAAATAATAATGGCCTTCATCAGAGTTGAAGTTGTTTAAAATATATGTTTATGGCTGAAGAATTCTCTGTTTTATGGCTGAAGAATTCTCTGTTTTATGGCTGAAGAATTCTCTGTTCTCCCACTATCACCTCCCTCCTCACAATTTGTTTCTGAAAATGAATGGGAATTCAGAGAGGAGAGTATTATTCTTCAACTTTTCTTAATTAAGTAAAAACAAGATGTAACCTAGCAAGAGAAAATACTGTATATGGCAGCAGCTTTTTGTTACTTACATGCTATACCTAATCTTTGCCAGTGAGTTTACATTAAGTTCCACAGACCCTGATAGGTGTAGATTAATTTAATACCTATGTAGTTAGTATAACTTCTGGAACATTCCACTAACTGAATTTTGCTTCTTTGAAATGTTTAACACCAGAATTTAGTTTATATCTACATTATAGCAGCTTCTGGGTGCTTTTTTTAATAAATAAGGTTACATCATGTCTTATCATAACACAAATAACGCTAGCATAATGTCACTAAAAGAGAGGTGTACTGATTGCCTGTGAGCAGTTAAAGATTTATTAGAAGCCGAGCTTCATGGATTTCCCCTTTTTAGGTATCAAAGCAAGCCAAAGAGTTCCTGGAATATGTTTATGAAGAGCCCCTGATTGACATTCAGCGAGAAAATCCCATATTGTACAGACACGTTGAGCCATTGGCAAGTGTGGCCCGTCTGAGACAGCAACTGAAATCCCTCCGAGCCTATTTATTCAGCTGCAGAGCAGCAGTGGCCGAAGACCTGCGAAGGAGGTAAGACAGAAGAACTGGCTTCCTTGGGGCCATCTTCCTTTCCTTGGCCATCTTCCACTTCCTTTCTTTAGTTCCCATGACCCAGCAATTAAAGTGTAGCCCATTGTGTCTGCCTCCGAAGGGTAACTGGATACTTTCAGTGCAACTGGATGGTTCAATGCCCAAAGGGGATCTCTGATTCATCAGTCCTTCTCACTCAGGGATATTAGGAACAGAATGCCTAAGCAAACAATGTCATGGAATAAATTTATTTAAAGATTTATATATATAGCAAAGTACAGTTGCATATCATCACATTCCAACTATATAGATTATACAACTGCAGCACTTGAAAAACTGATCTATTCACTGTTAGAGTAATATACTAACTAATTCAGTACTGGTATCACGATCCTGCTGCTTAAGAATTTTCTACACTGAAAATGAAATGCCAGAGTAGATAGAGGTCCCTGAATAAAAGCAAATTAAAGTTACATACGGAGTCCAGGATTCCTATGATTGTGATTAAAGCTGGAAGAGCAGCAGTAAATTTAATCATCATTGAAACAAAACAAAACAAAAAAATCAGCTGTGTTTGGCATCCTAAACAAATATGATGAAAGTTCTGGGCTTGGAAACACTTTTCTCCATTTCTTCTGTCACCCTCTCATCTGTCACTTTAACTTTAACAACAGCTCCAGCTAAAGGAAGGAGTGAAGCTGGATCTGCTTTTCAAATGATGAGGTGCCTTCCTTCTAGGCAGAACATGGTTTCCAATCCCTGAAAATACAAGAGAGTGAGAATGGGATTTCCTCTGCCCCGAGGGGTCTACAGAAACTACTGAGCCCCAAATGCTCCCCATTTTCTGGCCTGGGATCTGTTGGAGGAATGAGAGCAGGATAAAATAGGGAGAGTCTGGTCTTTCACCACCATCATCATTGTGGTGGGTGATAGGAGCCGTGGTGGCACAGTGGTTAGAATGCAGTATTGCAGGCTGACTCTGCCGACTGCCAGCAGTTCGATCCTGACCAGCTCAAGGTCAACTCAGCTTTCCATCCTTCCGAGGTCGGTAAAATGAGGGCCCAGATTGTTGGGGGGCAATATGTTGACATTGTAAACTGCTTAGAGAGGGCTGTAAAGCACTATGGAGCGGTATATAAGTCTAAGTGCTCTTGTTGTTGCTATCATCCATGTCCCCATTATTCTGAGCTTTGGTGGAAAAGGTCTGTGTGCGTGCGCACAAGCATTTTTGCTTTGGTATCTTCATATAATCAAAAGGAGATTATCTTGGCTGTTTAGAAGATAACCTCGGTTGATGTCATGATTAATAATGTCAAATACCAGTAAAAACATTAATGTTACTGAAGTGCCTAAACTTAGTAGCCACATTCCTATTATAGGCATTTGCATTGTCTCTGTTTGGGACTGTGAAACAAAGAAAGTTGAAAATCTCTGCAGTTGAAGAAGGCACATGAGATATTTTCTTAATATCATGTAAGAATTACCTTCCTTTTTCCTATCTTCCTTTTTAAAGACTTCCTTCATTTGTAATACTGACTATAATATCTCCTTCAATTAGTATGAGATCGAAGGCTGGATGCTTTATGGGAGATTCAGTTCAGAAAAAGCATCAGAGAAAGAGATTACAAGCTTTTGATTAACAGCAAAGCAAAAAAAGAGTGTTTGATTAAAATAAAGAGGCAGGGAGGGCCAAGGCAAGTCAGTGAAGAGAACAGAAAAAAAGAGATCAAAGGAAGCAGAGAGTGAAAAGCAACTGGGCTGGAGGACATGGGGCAAAGGAGGAGGGGGGAATGAGGAGACTAGCAGAGGCACGAAGAGCCAGTGTTGATGGAAAAAGGTGAGGGAAAAGGGTACAGAGGAAGCTGTGAAGAGGCATTCAGGGTAGCACAGGAATAAAAGCAAACCTGAGAAAATAGGAACCCTTGCAAGTGACCAAGACAGAGACAAAGGGGGATTAGAGACTAAAGCAGTTGAGTGGGCATGGTGTAGAAAATGGAGAGGATAAAGTTAGGACATAGGTTGGAAATAATGCCGAAAGCTAACATGTTGAATTATTATCAAACTTGGTAAAAAGTTACATTAAGCTTATCATTTGGGGGAAAGGTGTTAACATGGGTGTGTACATCTGCAGAAGGTAATTGAAGAGGTAACAATGAAGATGAAAAAAAAATCTTATTGTAGACTAAATAATGTCTATAAAAGACTTATGTTTGAGCAACAGTACAAAGTTTAATTTTCTCTCTTAATAAACTGTAGCTAACCTTGGACTTAAAAAGCCATCTGGGTTGGTATACGGTACTACCTGATTTGAACCTTATAACTTATCAGCATGAGTGCCACCTGAACTCCTGCTCTTTCTTTCACACTGTAGTCTCCAGACAAATGATAATCAGTTTCCTTTCTCCCTCCTTCCTGATGGCATGTGTCTGCTTGTCTTTCTGTTTGTCCATCCTAGGGTTTTTTGCACCACTCTAGTTTTTGTTTTGCAAAAAAAAAGAACAGCTAGCAATTATTGATTATATTTCATAGTTTTCAAATTGAAACATATTTACTATTTATTGAAAAATTAAGCTAAATTTCCTTAAAATTCTTTACTTTTTGCTGCTTGTTCTTAATTAGATATGTGAATTTCCAGCTATTCTGAAAACGTTGTCATTATGTTAGACTTTCATAAAGCAAAATGTAGTAAACTATGAACAATGCACTGCAAGGAGGACTGAACATAGGGTGATTAATGTAAAGAATTAGCTGTTGCTTTTCATCCGTGCTTCTGTTTTAAAACATACAAGATATTTCCAAAAGCATGGCAAAATGGGTTCCCTGCTGTATACTAAAATTCCTGGTTCTTGGAATTTTATTTGTACGTGCATATGTATGTATGAGGGGTCCTTGGTGGTCTCTCTGCTTGGTTGTTGATGATATAACCCAGTTTGGTTAAAGAAACATCTGCAAGAAAACAACCACGTTCATTTCAACCCTGAGCTACAAATATTCTCCTTTATTGATAATATGTATATAAAAAATAATTCCATCAGCTAATATATAGCTGACACAGATCTATGGACAGAATATTAATTGATACAAAATTGATTTTAAGCTTCAAAGACTATCAAGAGAAACTCTCATGGAAGTTGTTCGTTTGAGGAAAAGTAGAATATCATAAATTACACATTCATGTGCCAAGACATATTTCTGTCACCTAACATATAGACTGAAGGTGTAAACATATCTGAGGGTATATCTCTTAGAACAAAAATGCACCTTTGACAAAAAGATTTTTCTTGAACTCCAGATGCTCATTTGTTACCTTCTTTTGTACCAGATTCCTGGTGATTGCCTGGACAAGTCGATGCAATATTCTTGCAGCATTTTTCAGAAGTGACTTTTCATTGACTTCTTATTACTAAAAAAGAGTAACTTCAGCCTCTCCCAGTTTTTTACCTACTGCCTTTAACTACTATACCAAAATGGTTATTTAACTTATCATAGTGGATGTTTAATTAAATAACTAAATAATTAGAATGTAGATGGCATATTGAGAATCAAAAGTAAAGGTAAAGGTTTAGATAGTTTTGGCCTGACCCAGAACCTGAAGTCTAAAGGAATCGATTTCTATCACTGAAAGTCTAAATTCAGCTTAACAGTCCTGATATAACTCCCATTAGCACCATTAGTCAATAGTTATTTTGTACCCTGTAGAAGCCAATCTGTAGATCCTGATGTATACACCTTTCTCTTCGTCAGAGCCATTTTACTGGGATGCCTAGAGTCATATGACCAATAGTGGTACAAATGGACATACAGTAAGTTTGGTCTGTCACTATTTCCTCAAGAAAAATAGGTTCAACATAGAAATAATTTTAATCAAACAAAGTTATATTATTCAGGGCTAAGGGCAGATTTGTGCTCCAGGGCTTAGAAATGTTATTTACGTTCATGCTATTAAATCCTTCAAGTCATCCTGATAGTTGCTAAAGCATCCTGTAGATGACTTTTTAATAAAAAAAAACTTTTCCCAGTAATTTAAATGCTAGAAGGATTAGCTGAAGATAATCCTCAACTTACGAATGGTTACGATCAATCTAAAAAAGGGGACCTATGACCTGGATGGGGCGTTGTCTTACCTGAACGCCTTTTCTCAGCATGATGATGTAGAATCCACCGGTGGGTAATCTCAGCCTTCCTGCTCAGTTGAGACTAAGTCAGAAATCTGCCACGCCTCCTTCTGGGCTGTACCTTCCCAGTTTTTGACCAAGGCGAAGCAAAACATGACGAAGTCCGATGCATTGGCTCCTCCTACTCTGACACAGGCTCAGACGGCCTCTAAGGGTGGGTGTGGATTCTACATCATCATGCTGAGAAAAGGCGTTCAGGTAAGACAAATGATTTGAGGAAATTCAAAATGGCGGCCGCCCAACGCTCTTGTGCATTCACGAACGAGGGACAAGGTAGTAGTCCCTGGGTGGGGAGAGCGCGTGGAATATATCCCCCCGATCCGTGCCTGCTACGCAGGACAAGGTAGAAGGCCTGGGCTGGACACAGCAAGTCTATGATGTCAATGGGGCTTTGAAAATGGCGGCCGCACCTTGCGAGGCTCCCAAAATGGCGGCCACGCCAAAATTAACGGCCGACTGTGAATCGTCCGGGCCTTCCCAGGCCTGGGGAAGCCCTGAGGGAGCTCAGCCTGTGCCCTAGTTGCCTGCCCTTCGTTCCGATGCCGTAAAACGGCAAAAACTTGCTGTTTAGTCGTCGCGCAGCCTCCGCTGCGATCCGGATCGTTGGATGTTCGTCAAGGGCCTCGCGGCACCGGCGCGCTCCGCTGAGGCTGTCCGGCGTCACAGGGCTCCACGGGGGATCGCCAGCCAAGGCAAGCCCCGTCCGGCTTCACAATGCTCCATGGGATGTCACCAGCCAAGGCAAGCCTCGTATCGAGTAAATCAGCTCGATCCGAGCAGGGGTAGCTCGGGTGGAGCCGAAAATGCGAAAATTGGCTCGAGTGG